ACAGCCCCGGGCCCCGGCCCCCGGCCCCCGGCCCCCAGTCCCAGGCCCTGGCCCCCAGCCTCCAGCCCCTGGCACAGCCCCAGCCCCCGGCCCCCAGCCCCCGGCCCCCAGCCCCCGGCCCCCAGCCCCCAGCCCCCGGCCCCCAGCCCCCGGCCCCGGCCCCTGCCCCCCAGCCCCCGGCCGCCAGCCCTCAGCACGCAGCCCCCGGCACACAGCCCGGGACCTTTAGCGGCTCTGCCCACAGTCACCCAACAGACAGCATACAATCCTGGGAGCCGCTGCCACGGTGATGGGACATGAGGCGGCTCTTTAACGGCCCTCTGCGTCCACACCCACAGGCGGGCGTGGGCACCCGGCCGCCAGCTCAGCCACCTCCCCCTCCCGCCCAGCTCACAGCCCTGGCCTCCCTGTAAGGCCCACCCAGTTAATGCCCGGTGCCCGCTGCCCGGGCTGATGGGACGGGGGCAGCATGGAGGCCGCTGAGGCTCGGCTCCTGGCCGGGAGGGGACAGGCCAGCTCCTCCCGGCTCTGGGCCGGCCTTCCAGGCCACCACGTCTCTGCCCGCCCGGCCCTGTCTGTCCCCCTCAGAGGGGCCTGCCCGGCTGCGAGGCCCCTGAGTGGACAAGGGGCCGTGACCCCCGTCTGCTCACAAGGGGCAGCCTGGCCTGGGGGTGGGGTGTCCCCCAAAAGCTGCATGAGCAGGCAGGCTGTGGGCTTTAACCTCCGGCTGAGCCCTTCCTCGGCGGCCGGCGGTCAGAGGGCCCGGGCAGGCTGGCCCACTCCACTCGCCAAGTAAAATGCCAGGTCCTCCTGCCAGGCCGGCACTCTGCCCGCTCCCTCCCGCTCAGGAAGCACCGGGCCGGGCAGGAGGCAGCATGGGAGGCAGGAGCTGGTGAAGGGGATGGGGGGCAGGAGGGATGCCCGGCCCCGGCCACTGACCTCCCTGCTCAGAGCACCTACTGCGTGCCAGGCCCGGAGAGAGCCCCGAGGACACACTGAGGCGGCAGAGACCAGACCCGGTGCGGACAGCCGCGGGGGCTCAGCTGCTCCCGCTCCACGCCGTCCTCCCAGGGCCCAGCAGGCGGAGAGGACAGAGGCAGCCGCTGAGAACACGCCTCGGGCAGCACAGAGCGTCTGGCACAGAGCGTCCGGCACAGAGGGTCCGGCACAGAGGGCCCGGCACAGAGGGTCCGGCACAGAGGATCCCGGCACAGAGGATCCCGGCACAGAGCGTCCGGCACAGAGGGTCCGGCACAGAGGGTCCGGCACAGAGGGTCCGGCACAGAGCGTCCGGCACAGAGGGTCCGGCACAGAGGGTCCGGCACAGAGCGTCCGGCACAGAGCGTCCGGCACAGAGGATCCAACACAGAGGGCCCGGCACAGAGGATCCCGGCACAGAGGATCCCGGCACAGAGGGTCCCGGCACAGAGGGTCCGGCACAGAGGGCCCGGCACAGAGGGTCTGGCACAGAGGGCCCGGCACAGAGCGTCTGGCACAGAGCGTCCGGCACAGAGGGTCCGGCACAGAGGGTCCGGCACAGAGGGTCCGGCACAGAGGGTCCCGGCGCAGAGGGTCCCCCAGCACAGAGGGTCCGGCACAGAGGGTCCGGCACAGAGGGTCTGGCACAGAGGGTCCGGCACAGAGGGTCCCGGCGCAGAGGGTCCCCCAGCACAGAGGGTCGGGCACAGAGGGTCCGGCACAGAGGGTCTGGCACAGAGGGTCCCGGCACAGAGGGTCCCAGCACAGAGGGTCCGGCACAGAGGGTACGGCACAGAGGGTACGGCACAGAGGGTCCCCCGGCACAGAGGGCCCGGCACAGAGGGTCGGGCACAGAGGGCCCGGCGCAGAGGGTCCCGGCACAGAGGGTCCAGCACAGAGGGTTGGGCACAGAGGGTCTCCCGCTGGAAGGAGGGCAGGGAGCTGACAGGCGGCAGGGATCGGAGTCGGGGTTACTCTGAGCCCACTGGGACTCACAGGGGGTGCTGAGCAGGTGGTGTGCTCATATGCATATATTTATTAAAATGTATTTCCATTCTTTTCAGAGAGGACGGGAGGAGAGAGATGGAAACATCAGTGATGAGAGAGTCTGATCAGCTGCCTCCTGCACACCCCACACTAGGGATGGAGCCCACAACCCAGGCACCTGCCTTTGACCAGAATCAAGCCTGGGACCCTTCCGCCCGCAGGCTGATGCTCTATCCGCTGAGCTGACCGGCCAGGCTGGCTCATGTTTCAGATCTGGGGGGGGGGGGGGGGGCAGGACAGGAGGAGCCAGAACAGAGAGCCTGTGGGACGGGTGTCCTCTCCCCAGACAGGGCCTGGCGCTGGGGGAGGCTATGGAGCAGGCTTGGGGACTGCACTAGGCTCGCTCACCCTGGGGGCTCCCACAGCCCTCAGAGCTGGCCAGCTGGACTGAGCCCTGCAGGACAGGGGCGGGGGCTGCCCTCACTGGCTCCATGGCCCCGTGACCTCGGATGGCCCGGTGACCTTGGGTGGGCCTGTGACCTTGGCAGAGCTCGCTGGCCCCTCCTCGCACCCTCAGGGCTGTGACCCTGGATCCAGAGGTTCCTCCTCGGGGTTGGGGGGGGGGTCCCCTGAAGCCCTGAGGCTGGCCCAGCTCAGCCCTGTGGCATGCCGCCCCCCATGGCCTGTCCCGGCCGGAGGGTCACTGCCGGGTCTGCCCCACGCCCGCCCTGGCCGTGGGTCAGGCGGTCCTGGGCACACGCACCCAGCAGGGCCCACTCCCCAGCGCACGCCCACCCCACACCACCCGCTCCGGCCTGTGCGCTGAGAGGACACAGCGACCCAGCAGCTGAGGTCTCCGCCCGCCTCGCCGAGTCCCCACCGAGGACGGGACCTGCTCAGCAGCGCCCGGAGCGGCCGGCGGGGAGGACACCGGACAGACCAGGGGCTGCCCTCCCCGAGGTCGCCCTGCCCGGCGAGTCCCTCCACCGCAGGCGCCGGGCACCGACGGTCCCCCCTCTCTGACGGCACAGCCCCTGCCGGGCCGCCCCCGCATCCGGCTCCCAACACGACGGCGCCCGCCCGCCAGCCGCTGCCACCCTGCGCGGGCCTGCCGTGTGCCAGGGCCTGCCATGTGCGTGTCCCTGCACACGTGTGCCAGGGCCTGCCGTGTGGGAGGACTGCCCTGTGCGAGGACTGCCGTGTGCAAGAGCCTGCCTGTGTGCCAGGGCCTGCCGTGTGCGTGTCTGTGCACCCGTGTGCGAGGACTGCCGTGTGCGAGGACTGCCCTGTGCGAGGACTGCCGTGTGCCAGGGCCTGCTGTGTGCGAGGACTGCCGTGTGCCAGGGCCTGCCTTGAGCGAGGACTGCCGTGTGCGTGTCTGTGCACCCGTGTGCGAGGACTGCCCTGTGCGAGGACTGCCCTGTGCGAGGACTGCCGTGTGCGAGGACTGCCGTGTGCCAGGGCCTGCTGTGTGCGAGGACTGCCGTGTGTGAGGACTGCCCTGTGCGAGGACTGCCATGTGCCAGGGCCTGCCGTGTGCGAGGACTGCCGTGTGCCAGGGCCTGCGTGTGCCAGGGCCTGCCGTGTGCGAGGACTGCCGTGTGCGTGGACTGCTGTGTGTGAGAGCCTGCCTGTGTGCGTGGACTGCTGTGTGTGAGAGCCTGCCTGTGTGCGTGGACTGCTGTGTGTGAGAGCCTGCCTGTGTGCGTGGACTGCTGTGTGTGAGGACTGCCGTGTGCGAGGACTGCCGTGTGCGAGGACTGCCGTGTGTGTGTCCGTGCACACGTGTGCCTGCGCCAGCGCGGGCTTCCCCACAGGACAGCATGCAGCACGGTCCCCCAAACAGCCCGGAGCCGGTCCCATCAGGAGCTCCCCCCCACGCGCAGCTGACCCATCCCTCCAGGGGGAGAGCCCTGGAGAGCTGGTCCCGGGCACCAGCACGTGGCACCCCCCGCGGGGAGGGTGGGGAGGGGGCGTCCTCTGTGGGCTGGACCGGCCCCAGACACCGGCCTCTGGGGCACCAGGCACTGCCAGCACCTGCACGCGGCCCGCCCCCGGCCATCGGCTTTGTCACCTCCTACACGCCAGCCGCCACCCACACCCACACCCACACCCACACCCACACCACGGCCGCCTGCCTGCCTGCCCCGCCCCGCCCCGCACACCGCACGTGCGGGCAGACAATGGGACCGCAGACCCGGAACCAGCCCAGGGGAGGCAGACGCCCCCCACGGCCCTCCCCCCAGCTGCCTGCTGTCCGCACAGCCGGTCAAGTTCAAGGAGCCGCCAGGCCCCCGGCCAGGGAGGGGGCACACAGGCCTGGGCAGGCGCCCACCGCGGGGGTCCCGCCCGGCTCACGTCCCAGGAGCTCCAGCCCCCAGGCGGGGCCCAGCCGGCGGGGCCCTGCGTCTGTCCGGACCCGGTGGCTGGGACGATGCCAGGGCCACCACAGAAGGCGCCCGCGGGCCGGGCCACGGCAGACACACACGTACAGTCTCCCTGTAGGAAGTGAGGAAAGCGGGCAGAGCAGACGCCAACCAGCGGCCTGGTCCCGCCCAGCCACGGGGAGCCACCCTCCCGGGCGGTCCACACCCAGGCCCTGGCACCCTCACCCCGGCCACCGGGCGGCCCAGCCCAGCCCAGGCCGTGCTGGTCCCCACCTCCCGCACCCAGCACCTCCAGGTGCTCCGGACCGCTCTCCGGCTCCGGAGCCGTGGGGTCCGGGGAGGCGGCGGCTGGAGGGGAGCAGGTGGGCCCTCGCCCATGGACCGGGCCCAGCTGCCAGACCCAGCGCAGCGGGAGGCCACCCGAACCCAGGCCGGCCCTCCCCGCACACCCGCCCCTGGGCACCGGCACCGGGCCGCCCCGGCAGACCGGCCGCTCCCTCCGCTCCCGCCCCGCGGTCCGGGCGGGTCCGAGGGGAGCCGGTCCCCGGGGCCGGCACCAGGGATCGCTGTTCCCCCACCAGACGCCGGGAGCTCTGGACGCCAGCCTCGGTCTGTCCGCCCCCCCCCCCCCCCCCCCGCAGCTCCTACCGTGCGGGCAGCTGGGCGCGGGGGTTGGCGAGGCGGCGCGAATGCCAGAGGACGGATCCCGGATCCCGCGTTTGGAGGGAGGGAAGGAGCAGAGGGAGGAGGCAGGGGTGGGGGGGAGGGGGGAGGGAGGAGAGGGGAGGAAGAGGGCGGCTGCAAAACCCGGGCGGGATCGCCAGGAGCCGGAGCGCAGGGATCCTAGGCCACACTGGCCCTCAGCTGCCCGCCCTCCCCTCCTGCAGGGACCCCAGCCCTCCCCCTCCCCTCTCCAGGAACCCCCTCTCCCAGGGGCCTCCTCCCCCAGGGACCCCCTCCCCCAGGAACCCCCTCTCCAGGGGCCCCTCTCCCAGGCGCTCCGGGCTCACCTCACCCTGGAGCACGGGGGGCTTTCCTCGGCTCAGGCAGAAGACCATCGCCCTGCCCCCGCCCCCGCCTGTACCCCATCTCCCTCCTCTCCACCCAGCCCCCCGCAGTGACTCCCGTTTCCCAGCGGGAGACTGAGGCCGGGTGCAGAGCGGCACCGTGGACTCGGCCGGACCCTGACTCCGGGCTGGGCCCGCCTGGGTGCCCCGGGAGCAGCAGCGTGCCCCGGGGGCGGGCAGGGTGGACTCGGCCGGACCCTGGCTCCGTGGCCTGGGTGCTCTGAGCAGCAGCGTGCCCCGGGGGCGGGCAGGGTGGACTCGGCCGCACCCTGGCTCCGGGCTGGGCCGGCCTGGGTGCCCCGGGGGCGGGCAGGGTGGACGCCTGGTCCCGGCCGCCCTCCTCGCTGCCCGAGGCCAGTCCGCCCCGGAGGGCCGGCAGGCTTCGCGGACGCTCCGGACAGTCTGCTGCAGGCCCTGCCCGGCCCGGTCCTCCCTGGCCGAGGCCCCGTCCCTGGCCGGTGCTCAGTGGTTAGAATGCCGGCCCGCCACCGAGGGGTCGTAGGTTCGATTCCCGGTCAAGGGCATGTACCTGGGCGGCAGGTTCAAATCCCCAACCTCAGTCAGGCACGAGCTGAGCAGGAGGCAACAATGGGTGTGTCTCTCTCACATCGAGCTCTCTCTCTCCCCCCTTTTCTCCCTCCCTGCCACTCTCTCTAAAAAACCCACGGAGCCCTCACCGGTGTGGCTCAGTGGATAGAGCGTCAGCCTGCGGACTGGAGGGTCCCGGGTTCGATTCCGGTCAAGGGCATGTACCACATCCCCAGTGGGGAGTGTGCAGGAGGCAGCTGATTGATGTTTCTCTCTCCCTCTCCCTTCCTCTCTGTGAAAAGCCAATAAAAAATATTTTTTAAATCCAGGAGAAAGCGTCCTGGGGGGATTAAACGCTGCGGCCCTCACCGCTGACCAGCAGGTGCCTGGCCGTGGCCACCGCTCCCCAGGGGCGCGTCCGTCCCCCTGGCTCCTCCAGGCGGCGCCGGCTCCAGGCCGCGGGCGCGCTGGGGCCGCCCCAGCCCTGCCCTCCCTCTGGCCGGCCGTGCCCTCCACCCGGCGAGGAGAGGAGTGGGTGCGGGAGGAGCGGAGAGGTGGAGAGGCGGTGACCTGCCCCCGCCGGGCCGAGTCACCTCAGGTGTGGGCATGAGCAACAGCTGCTTTCGCTTCTCCGGGACCTGGGCTCCCGCTGCGATTCCCCGGGCGGCCTCTGGGGGGCGCTGCACCGCCTGGGCCTTCCTGACCAGGCCTGCTGCCCGCCCGATGGCTGAATCCTCCTGTCTCCTCTGCCATCTCCTCCTCCTGTCTCTGTCCCTCTGTCCCTCTGTCCCTCTCTCTGTCCATCTGTCTGTCTCTCTGTCCCACTGTCTCTCTGTCCTGTGCTTCTGTCTCTGTCCATCTCTCTGTCTCTCTGTCCATTTCTCTGTCTCTCTGTCCCTCTGTCTCTCTGTCCATCTCTCTGTCTCTCTGTCCCACTGTCTCTCTGTCCATCTCTCTGTCTCTCTGTCCCACTGTCTCTCTGTCCATCTCTGTCTCTCTGTCCATCTGTCTCTCTGTCCCTGTCTCTCTGTCCATCTCTCTGTCCCTGTCTCCCTGTCCCTCTGTCTCTCTGTCCCTCTCTCTGTCCCTCTGTCTCCCTGTCCCTCTGTCTCTCTGTCTCTGTGGGTCTCTCTCACACACACATCTCAGCCCTGGCTCAGGCTGACGCATGGTAGTGATAACGAGGTGAATGTAGTGGAGTTTCCCACCTCCCTTTTTTCACATCCATATTCTTTTCTTTTTTAATATATTTTATTGATTTTTTTACAGAGAGGGAGAGAGGGACAGAGAGTTAGAAACATCGATGAGAGAGCATCATCGACCAGCTGCCTCTTGCACACCTCCTGCTGGGGTTGTGCCCGCAACCAAGGTGCATGGCCTTGACCGGAATCGAATCTGGGACCTTTCAGTCCACAGGCTGAGGCCCTATCCCCTGAGCCACACCGGTTTTGACCACATCTATATTCTTATTGATTTCGGAGAGGAAAGGAGAGGGAGACAGAAACACCCATGATGAGAGACCATCACTGATCAATCGGCTGCCTCCTGCACGCCCCACCCTGGGGATGGAGCCCGCATCCTGGGCCTGTGCCCCAGCCGGGAATCGAACCCTGACCTCCTGGCTCCTAGATTGACGTCTGCCGCAGAGCCACGCCGGCCAAGCTGTCCCACCTCGGGCAGCTGTGCTGGGGGCCGGGCGCCCCCTGCCCTTGGGCAGCTGTGCTGGGGGCGGGCACCCCCTCGGGCAGCTGTGCTGGGAGGGCACCCCCTCGGGCAGCTGTGCTAGGGCCGGCGGGCACCATCTTGGGATGAAGGGCGCTCAGGCCTGGGCGGCCGCCGTCCTGGGGGCACTGGATTGAGGGGCTGAACTCCGACCTGCCCGGGTCACGGGCCAGTCCCCGAGGTGGCACCGGGCGGGGCCAGCGCCCGCAGGGCATTGAGGAGGCGCAGGGCCCGGTGGGCGACAGGCCTGGGAACCCCTCTCGGAGGTCCCACCAGCTGGACGGGCCCGGAGGACGGGCAGGTCTCTACGCCCAGGCTGCACCTGCTCCCGCCTCAGGCTCCTGCGGGGCCGCCCGGAGCTCAGCGGGACCCCCTGACCCGGACCCCTGCCCCCTGACCCCGGACCCCCGCCCGGGACCCCTGCCCCCAGAGCCCCCGCCCCCCTGGCCTCGAACCCCCCGCCCCCGGACCCCCTGCCCCCGCCCCCTGACCCCCGCCCCCCTGACCCCGGACCCCCTGCCCCCCTGTCCCCGGACCCCTCGCCCCCAGACCCCCCGCCCCCGCCCCCTGACCCCCGCCCCCCTGACCCCGGCCCCCCCGCCCCCGCCCCCTGACCCCCGACCCCCTGACCCCTGACCCAGAACCCCCTGACCCCGGCCCCCCTGCCCCCCTGTCCCCGGACCCCTCGCCCCCAGACCCCCCGCCCCCGCCCCCTGACCCCCGACCCCCTGACCCCGGCCCCCCCGCCCCCGCCCCCTGACCCCCAACCCCCTGACCCCTGACCCAGAACCCCCTGACCCTGGCCCCCCTGCCTGGGACCTTCTGCCCCGGACCCTGCCTGTGGGTGTGGGGGTGCTCGGCCGGCACCGGGGGGCCAGGTGGCAGGCCTGCCGGGCTCCGGGGCCATGTGGGTGGGGTTAGGGTGGACCCTCTTCCTTCAGGGCCCCCTGGGCTTCTGCTGCCGGCTGGGCGCTCTCGCCGAGGGCACCCCTTCCTGAGAAGGCCCCCCAGGACGGGCTCTCTGTGCTCGATGGCTCCGGCCGCGCGGCTCCTGCTGCTCTCGCTGGCGTGTGAGGGCCGCCCGCCCCAGAGCCTCCTCTCGGGAAGTGAGGCCTCCTCTTGGTGGAAAGGTGGCCGTGGAGGAGGAGGAGGGAGGAGGAGGAGGAGGAGGGGGGAGGAGGAGGGGGGAGGAGGAGGGAGGAGGAGGAGGGAGGAGAGAGAGGAGGAGGAGGAGGGAGG